ATCTATCTATCTATCTATCTATCTATCTATCTATCTATCTATCTAATCTATCCATCTATCCATCTATCTATCTATCTTATATATCTTAACATGTATAATGAGCACTGTTGAATATGATTTTTAGCAAGCTGTAGGCCTCAAGAGATGTAAAATAGATTTGTAGCAAGAATGTGATATTGTGAGTGTAATCATAAATTATATAAAGTTTACCCAGGAGCTGGACATGTAGATTAGTGAAACAATTTGCTTCAGCAAAGGGTACAGGTAGAATAAAAGACAGGATTGGTTTACATGATCCATTTTATAGTTATCCACCAAATAGGATATGTCCGTTATCTTATTCATCTATGAATCAACACGTACACTTGCAGTTGTGACATACAGCAGAGATGCTTACAAATGTATTATGCCTTTCAGTAGTTAAATAAGTACATATACTACTTTAATATGCAAGTATATTTAAATAAACGATGGTCTATGTAATTGCAACCTTCTTTTCAACTTTTATATTTATCATTCAGTGGCTCATTCTTCTGCCCTAATCCTTACTACTATTCAGTAGTCATTCTAGGAAGGATACCTATCAACATAGTAGTAATCCAATCAAAGGAATCTCTATTACAGTCATAGACCAGAATACAATCAGAATACTGGTTATTAAAATTAAAAAAATACAGTTATAATATAATATGATAATCAGCATAAATGTAAAAATATCTTGGCTTTACCTAGGTTTTATTTGATATATTATTTAATGTAATATTCTTATTCATTGAACACACAGTTTGACTCTGTTGTATGTCAATGAAACCACCGAGGCTCTATCTAAAAATATACTGGCATTCTGTTATGACTGTTAGTAATTTGGTTTACTTTCAAATCATGCTTGTCCTAATCAATATCAGGCTGCAAAATGCAGTCCAATCACTTACGTCTTTGCCAATTTTTGAGACTTTAGTCCCAGAAGAGGAGAGAATAGCGTGGAGAGATTTACACTATTCTGTTACACTGAGGTTACAAATCTGTGTATGCAGGTGACTCACTGCTGCTGTACACTATGCCCTGAGTGACATGATCAAGTGTGCTACCTTCTGTCTTGGACTGTCGGTTGGTTGTGAGTTGTTGTTATGAATCTGAGATTGGTTTGATCTTCCTGCTGTAATTGCTTGTGATTTAAAAGTTCACCATGCTTCTAATAATTGTGACGACGTTCTTTTAAAAAAAATAAAATGGGAAGATTCTTTAATAAAATATTTATTTCTACAGGTACTGTAGAAGAAGATGAAGGAGATGACCTATTACTGGGGTCTGTTGATGAATTCTGGTGGTTTCCTCATATGTGGAGCCACATGCAACCTCACCTGTTCCATAATGAATCTTCACTAGTGGAGCAAATGATTCTCAACAAAAAATTTGCCTTAGTGAGTTAAATTCATACATCACAGGTTTAGTAGAAATTATGTATAACTGATTTTATAGCACAATAAAATATAGAGTATTTAAATTCAGCATTTCCTCTTAAAAAAATTGAGACTGTCAATTAAAGATATATTTCAATTGGTTTATTGGAATTTTCAATTCCAGGTGAAATTAATAAAATTACAGAGCAGAAACATTTATGTTACAGAGTACTATATCTGACATTCAGGTGACTGTAACTACATTTTATCAAAAGAATCCTCCATACATATAGATGCCCATCACACTGTTCCCTTTTGAGGTAAGCAGCATTATGCATAGTATTGAACAGAATGAAAAGTAGTGGGCAAAAGAAATTAAATGCATTAGATAAGAGAAAAGAAAAGGAGGTCTAACTCCATCTAGTGTACACCAACACCATTCATTACACCACTTCATATCTTTCTTGCTTCCACCACATCCTTATACCACTTTGTACATTGCCTTTAAACTTCTCACCTTTCCCTTTTTAAGGAACTTCTTACTTCTACAACTTCTCACCAGTTACAACTTTCTCAGTCTTTCCTTTTCTCTTGACCCATTCACTCTTCTTTCATGTATTTGTTTTATATTCAGTTCAATGTAATTCAATATTCATTCTCTCATTCTGTATAATTCAGACTACCACATCATGCTTCTTTCATATTGGTCACTTAGGTTATATTTAATCCACGTTCAGTTCATCACCCATTCATAGTTGCTCTGTCTCTTCTTCTTTTACTATGTATCCTTCTTAAGTATTCCATTCCCATTGAAATCAACATAGTTTTATGTTTCTGCTGACTTAACTGGTTTTCATTTCCATATAACAAAGTGGACAGAAGCATGCTCCTACACACAACCATTTAAAATTATTTAGACAAACTTTTCTCACAACAGACCACATTATCCCCACCAATTTCTCCATCCATTTTCGTTATGTTTAGTAAACATTCTACCAAGATAGATGGATTCATCCAGCTGATATAATTTTTCACCACGTATAAACACCTTGTAATTTTTCACTACATTTTCCCTGTCAAACACAACTTCCTGAGTTCTTAATACATTAATTTTCAGGTCCATATGCCTTATTGCATCATGCAATCTGTTTAACATTCACAGCAAATTATTCAGGTCCTCAGCCAAGAACATGGCATTGCCTGCATACAAAAGTACATACACATGCATGTTCCAAATCAACACACCTCTGAGATCACAAAAAGGATTCCTTATAGAGTATCCATACACATAGATGTGTAAAACTCTTGGTTAAATTCTGTCACACCCAACTTGGACTCTGAGGATTCTGATGCTAAAGAGTCTGCTTCAGATGCACTGTGTGGATGGAGGTCTCAGGAATCAGCAAGTAATTGAGCATCTGAGCTGATTCTGCTGACCGTCATTTGGAGCAACTGAATAGGAATCAGTTGACAAGGATCTCAATTATGAGAGACAGCCCAGGCACATCACACCCTTTGAGAACAGCAAGCAGCACTCAGCATTGTTCCTAATGGTTTCCTACCCAGCAGTTGCCTTATATCAAGCTATAACCATTCCAACCTAGAACCTATGTGGTCATGCCCCAGAACTCTTGCATCCTGAAACTCTGCTACTCTGACCTCAGATCAGCTGATGAGCTTCCTATGAATCCCTTGGATTTTGGATCACAACCTGACAAACTAGTGCTCACTGTTTTGGATTTAGACTCATTTTCAGGCAAACTCATGTGGGTTTGTGGACTTTGCTCAAACATGCATGTGACTGCATGCACACACACACACACACACACACATTGACTGCCATTGCCTGTAATCTATGTTTTTACAAAGTAACTACTGAAGCCTGTGTGCGTGCTTGGCCTAGAACAGGACAAAGTGTATGTTTAAATGAATCCCTAAGCAAATAGAAACTGATACAACCTCTGCATGGTTCAAAGTTAAAAATGGCATCTGCAAATTTGAATGCATTCTTAGTGCTTATGTGTAACTTCTTACAGATTCAACATAAGAAAATACCAAGTTTGGCAATTGCAAGAGTTTGCACACCCTGTTAGTCACTATTTGTTGTATCTCTTTCAGCAGAAGTTAACAGCTTCCAAATGTTTCCTTTAGCCAACTAAGAATCTTTCTGTTCTTGCTTTTGGCATTTCTTTCCCCACTCTTCCTTGCAAAACTCTTCTAGCTCACTTTTCATGGGCTGCTTGTTAGATATCTCACCAGAGATTTGCAATAATATTCAAGTCTGTGGACTATGAAGCTCATCCCAAAAGCTTCATCTTTGTTTCCTGTAAGTATTTCAACAATGATTTGGAGGTATATTTCAAATTATCTGGCTGGAATAATCAACCTCTCTTCAGCTTCTGTTCCTTCATTTCATTTCAGTTTCTTCAACATACAATTTGACCAGGCCTGCCCTAACCTTTGCATATAACTGCATACTAAACCACCAAGTGAATCTCATATATGCTAGTCCTACTCCTTGCTCAGGGTTGAATAATTCACTAAGTATTTGATTTATCGTCATGTATCTTTACTACAATCATATACCATCCTTATATTCAGCAACCAATGTTCAATTCCATATTTATACAACTCATTCCATAGTTCAAGTCTTTGCCTTTTATCATATTCTATGAATCCACAAATATGAAGTAAACTTCCTTGGTCATAGTCACACATTGCTCAGTGACCTGCTGAAGAACAAAAATATGTCTGTATGTCCTCTGTCCAACATTAAGACACAGGACTTCCAAAAATTTATTCATTTTCATTGTTGTACTCTTTCAGTTAGTATTCTGCCAGACACTTTCCCAGATATAACAGGGGAACAAAAATGGCATTGCTTGAATCATCAGACATAGATGCAGGCTTCACCTGCATGTTAACAAGTCACACAGTCTATGTTTGCTGTTTTTCACTTCCCAATCCAACCTATACCTGTGGTATTTCCTGGTAGTCTGTCATCCAAGTGCTGAATATGTCTGATCTTGGATAGTTTTTCCAGATTTGTTCAAAGCATTTAGGTGCTGCCACATAGCCCAAGCTCAATCAGTATACAAAATACTGAAAATATTGTTTAATTATTGTAAGTATAAGTCATTTTCTCTATGTAAAGACTGTAGATACATTCATACATTTTATTGAATATAGTCATTTTATAATAAGAAAATTAATACAAAAATCCTGGTTGTTAGAAGGTAATTTTGATGCTATCAAACTATATTTCATTATACTTGAAAATTGAGATCTCCATTTTGTAAACATATATATCCTAAAGTTGAAAAAATGTAAAAAGCCAGGTGCTACATTAATGCTCCTTTATGTTCCAAATTATTTCCATAGCAATGCATACCCCAATTAAATTATTTTAAATAACTATACAAAGAAGTCAGAAGGAGATCCAGTGGAGGGGAGTGCCATTAGCAGTAATAATAATGGGTGATATGTAGAAATACAGCTGTATTGTGTCCATTATAAATGCCTTCTTTGCAGCTAGGAAAAGGTTACTAACAAGACTTTCTTGAGCTAGACCAAAAGCTCTTCAATTTTCTGAAAAGCCCTAAAAATGCTTTGCATCCTAATGCCAGTCCACTGGTGTTCTCATCAAACACATTCTGTCCACACAGAACCACTGGAACCAGGGAGAGGAATTTTAAAAAATAATTTTAAAAACAAGCATAGTATTACACTATCTTACTCTTGCTGTAATTCACATAAAAGGAGTTATATAGAAATACATCTCTACTGATCATTGCAAACAATGTTCCTTCAGAAATCTTGTATTTCTGTTCATCAAAAGAAGCATTAAGATGAAGTGCTTAGTGTAAAACAGTATATTTTCTGGGTGCTTAATAGGAATTTAACTTTAAAGCAGAAATTTTAAAACTGCATTACATTTGCAGATGAAACCACCAAAGGAAATCTAAACTGAATTTAGTGAAACAAAAAGAGAATTAAAACTGTGCAGGAGTCTCCATTTTAAGCTTTAAACCATATGCCTTACAATGGAAAAGATTTGCCATTATCAGGGCAACTTAGTGTTCAACCAGGATTTAAAAATAAACTACATAAGTCTATTTAAATTAAGAAGGTGGTCAAATGGGGGGGGGGGAATCATTTGCATATTAGTGAAAGAAAACAGCTATAAATATTATATTATTTCATATTATCACACCAATAGAGATATTTGGCGTGCATGCTTGTTGAACTGGAACCAAATTAAGCTCCTGGGGCTAGAGAAAAGGAAACAGGAAGACCTATAAAATATTGCACCACATCCTAGATAAAACAGAAAATATACCAAACTACATATGCAAGGACACCACATAAAAAAGTATCTAACTGAAAAAAAATCAGGTTGACATTTGTTGCAGGTTTTGGAATCTCTTTTGTCTTCTATTCTAAACATATTTAAAAACCAAAATAAGATCAATATCTGCTAATATTATCAGTGTGAAACATTAATAACATGTTTTCTGCGCATTTTTCTATAAAAAGCAATTTAAAATAATTGATTTTAAACAATTTTACATAATATTGATGTTTTCTTTTTAATTTCAGGCCTGTCTGCCTGTCTGTCTGCCTATTCATAAGTCTCTCTGCATGTATCATGTTTTCTTGCATTATGATAATATACCTATCACAGTTCATACAACTAAAAATATTTAGTTGGAAAAAGTGAGCTTACTATTCGGTCATTTTTGACTGATACTAAGAAATGTCAACTACTACTGCTTTTTCTTCTAAAGGATTTGAATAGCTGTCTGTACATATAGGCATCTGTATATATAATTTTACCAGTGGCACTAGAACTGAAAGTAGGATATAAGAAAGAGTATTTTAGATGTTCACGTAATAGGCTTAACATGATTCTAAATTTATTCAAATTCTAGGTTTGCTGGAATAAACTAATCAGATGGTCTAGGCACAAAGAACTGCTCTCCAAGAAACCAAGATTAAAGCTAAATAAGTTTAGCATGTTAAAGCACTAGGTCTTTTAACTGACCTGAATAACCACATTGTGTAAATAAGCTCATAGGTGTGTATGAGGACACTGGTTCCTGTGCTTCATAGGATTTTATTTTGCTCTGTTTTCAGGAACATGGCATTCCAACTGATATGGGATACGCTGTGGCTCCACATCATTCTGGTGTCTATCCTGTTCATGTTCAGCTTTATGATGCCTGGAAGAAAGTCTGGAATATCAAAATCACCAGTACAGAAGAATATCCACATCTAAAACCTGCACGGTACAGAAGGGGTTTCATTCACAAAAACATCATGGTGAGCTATATTTTTTTTATTTCTGATCCTGACTTCTCTGATTACTGTCATCCACAAAAGAAAAAAGTGTAAGAAAAGGTCCCCATACCAAAAGTTCACTTATCTAAAGAGCTATTCTTAGTTTATTGTGCCCTACAACCAGGTTATAATTTACTGCAATATCCTTTATGTTAAAATGGCTTCAAAGATAGTTTGAAATTTTTAAACTTGTCAAAATGCAGCTATTATTGCTGAGAATCACCTAGAGCTGGATTCTCAGCCATCTCTTTTAACTAACCATTGATTCTGTACTCAGATGAAGATGTTGGTGTTAACTTTAAGGATTAGAGGTGGGAACAATTGTCTTAAAACTGCCTGTTTGTTGATGGGCTGGTGCCATAAGATCAAAGACCTTTCTAAGGATCTCAGTGCTGCTAGGAATATGTTTGATGACCTTGGTGTGTGTGGGTGTGTAGGTGTGTTTATATATATGTTTTAGTTTTATTATATATCAATGTTTAAGATATTGAGTTGGAATATTAAAAAGTATGCAAAATATTGTCAAGCGTAGAAAGTTATTTAAAGTAATAGATAGATATAATGTTGATGCTATATTTCTACATGACATTCATATTTTACATGCAAAATCTCTTCTGTCTGAAATTGGTTGGATGGGTTTATCCTATTTTCATGGTAATAGTACTAAAGATGCTGGAATTATTATTTTATTTAATAAATGTATCAGTATGGTTATGGTCCAAGAATATTTGGATACTAAGGGACAATTTATTATTCTTTTTTAAAGATGATTTTCATGTGGTACTGGTTAATTTCTGTGGTCCTGCAAAAAACAATCCTGTTTTATTTCATAGATGTCTTTCAAAACTATCTCAGGTAAGGTGTGGGTCTTCCGGGCTGTGTGGCCGTGTTCTGGAAGTTTTGTTTCCTAACGTTTCGC